ACCCAGACAAGTCCTAAAGTGACCGCCAAACGTCAGATAGTCGCATAAACAAAGCATTACACCATCAGCTTCAACTGAACCTGAAGTTACATTCAGTCCAACTACCACAATTGGGTCAGCATACGTCTGTTGAGCATCGATTTCGGGATTCGACACCGTCCTGTACATAAGGAAGGACCGTAGTGTCACTCCTGACATCCAGACACGGATGTAGTAGGAAGAATTCCGACACGATACTTTTCAGGTAGTTCAGACCGGTGTCGCTTCAGTTGTTAACACCAGGTCTTTAGAACGTGGGTAAAATGTGAAGCCAAACGCAGGCGTCATTATCAACGGTTTTGTTATTGTCGAAATCAGAGATTCTCCCGCCTCCAATGTAAATGCGTCTCATCCACACCGCAGGTATATGCTACAAACGGTAGTTCTTAAAAGGTCGAGATCGCTTTCGGCTACCACCAGCGTGGCGTCCCCAGAACTTCCTGCCAAGTGGAAGAAGAAGGCGTTAAGTGCAGCTAAATGAATGTGTTCTTGAGGCAGCAAAGTGGTTAAGCCTGAGATTGACTGAGATTTACTGTGTGCGTAAGCACATAAAGGCTGACTTTTCTCAGTTTGTCCAGGAAAGTAAGAATGTCCTACCATGCATCCAAACCCCAAAGGAGGTTATGAGGGAAATAGTAACAGAATACTGCGAATCTGGCAGACATAATGTCCTACTACAGTTACAGTACACTTCACATATCAATGTTAAGAGATGAAAAAAACGAAATTTTAGGGTGAACTAACAAGCATCTATGTAGGATTTCGTGATGTACTTGGAGATAGATGGGAACCTAACGTCTAAGCAGAATATGCATATTCAGTTAAAATGGAACTATGCTCTTGGTGTCTTTAGACGCCTCATCACATAGGTGGAGGTATTGAGTGGAGCTGAATACATGCATTTAAAGAGAATAGGAGAGATGAGACTTTGGCTTAGCTCAAAGGCGTAAAAGCGCTAGTATATAAGTGGTTACGCAAACAAAGCATTACTATTTGGTCTTCTAGTAGGACTCGAAATCCGGACTACTCTACTAAGGCACTATGGTCGCCCAAATGATTAGCATCTAATAAAATGAGGCATCGGAATTTTTTCCTTGAGGGATGCTACACGTTAATGAGGACGTGGTCGGGCATATAGACTCTCATGCTGTTAGTAAGATGCATAACACTAGCCTTTTGAAACGGATTGTTGTCAGCAGTATTGACTATTTTGCCGATACGAGCTGGACACTTGATAGTCGCCATGGTAATCACGCCCCAGATTTCGGGCTTCCAGAGCTTTGCTTTCGATGCACAAACGTATGCATGCAATTAAGGCGTCTCTAATAATGTTGGTTTATGGCTCTGTGAAGAAACCATTTATTGAGAATTTCTGTACCGATTGGTTTCTTTAGTGATTGG